AAATATAAAACCAAGCAAATTATCTACGTAGCGTTGCAATGTCACATGGGAATATGAACCCTCATCTTCAATTACAATCAAGTGAGCAATTATAAGACATACCATTGAGTGACTAATTATTACATAACTACTGACAAAACAATATTATATTTTGTAAATTTTAATGATTATAAAAGCAATTGTTATTTACAATCATTAATTATTTATTGCTGTAATCATTTATTATCATTTAATAATTTTAATTCTCTTCTTTTGTCAATAATTTTTTGATATCCGTCTGAACTAAAATTAACACTGCAGAAAATAAAAATTAATTAAATTCTAATTTAATAAATTCTAGAGGAAAGAAGATTTAAATTGCAAAAATTAGATTTGCATTTCTTCCTTGGTAATTGTAATAAACGTAATAAATTTTTTATCGAATATTTTGCACTAATTTCCAGTGTCTCGTCTTTCAATAAGAGAGCACTAGTTCCAAATTGTTTTAATCATACAGGACACAGATTTCCAGGATACAGATTTTGCATTCAAAATATTATTGCGATTTGCAAATGTGTGAATCATCTCGATTACGTATCCACGGACGGTTGATAAAATTAATCACAATTCGCTGATTCGATGACACGTTACAACATTCGTTCACACAGCTGTCTATATTGGGGGATACTTTCAATCAAAAGCGGATTATTCAATCAGGTAAGAGAAGCTACCGATACCAGATAACTTCACAATTGCAGAATTCGCAATAATTTTCAAACTTTCGTCAGAGTTTGATGTTTTAAAGTGAACTATATAAGCGCCTGTTTATTGCGCCTCTCAAAGAAAATTATTTGTGATCTCTGTAATTTACACAATACAGGTATACAATTGCAAGAAAATATTTCATAGATATAAACATAGATAATGAACATAGATAATGTATAGATCATATGTTTTGTTTATATGATAATAATTATCAATTAAATTACGAAAAAAACGTAAAAATTGCATTTAAATCAGTCATTTAGATTCTTATTTTATAGATACAAATAATTTACAATTATTTTATAAATACAAATTTAATACTATTTATCTGTGAAACAATATTTAAAAAAAAAATGCGTTTACTGATTTTTTTTTAGATAATCGATTAGTATTTACGACACTGTATATTAATAATTTGTATAACGCAATCAATTTAATTACAGATATATCAACAATCATTGTTCGAAATTATTCGACACTTTTGTTTGAAATAATAACTTTCGTTTTTCAATCTTTATTTTTTTTTTTTTTTAATTTGGTTTAGTAATCGTAAAATTTATCATTTATAATTCACATTAAAAATCATATCTGATAAATCATATCGTACAGTGGCTTGTCCTTCGTTACGTCACGAGAATGGATACGACGACAACAGATATAGTTATATGTAAGATAAATTTACATGTTTGATGCGCATTTTCGTTGTAGTATTTACGGATGGTCTGACAAAATAGATTGATAAGTCACACCTTTTCTATGACATGCGTTCGTAGCATTTGGCAAAGTTACCTTTCTAATTTTATTTTAGTATAGAACCATATACATTGTGATTTATGAATGTGAAAAACTAGAAACTTGTCAATATTGCAGTAAAACATATATATCATATCGTCAAATGAGAATTTGATTTATTATAAAAGCTATATCAAGGAAACTTACTCGTTTTTTTTTTTAGTTGCAAGTTACCTCACTATTCTTTTTTTATAAACATGATGTTGTAATTTTGTCGCAATTTTATTGTTGTTATTTAATTATAGTCATAAAATATCACTTGTGATTTATGTGATTTCAGTGTTAACATTAAATTGTTAATAAATGTGCATTATAAATAAATCATGTTAAATATTTATTAGAGTTATGTATAAAAATTTTACATTATATCATTATATTATATTAAAAATCTTTATTAAAATTAATTAGCTTCAGCAATATTTCTTTCTATAGCAAAATTTCTTTCAAACACTATTAAACAATTTTTTTCAAACATATATTGCTTTGTAACAGCAATTATCGCTCTGAAATGTTCACAATTCTTTCGTCAATGATCAAATGATAAGTAACAATGATCGAATATAAAAGACTTTTATTTCCGTCGCGACTCGAATAGTTAAACCAACCTCGATCTTCTAGACCCTCAATTTCAACCGGTTTCTTCTTTCATCCCGTGTCTGTTGCTCGTAGGAAGGATTGCGCGCGAAAACGGCTTTGTGAAAATCGATAGAACAGGAAGCACGGCGGCGCGATAGAATGCACGATCAAATCGGAAAACACTGCCACGTGTAATTCGCGTGATTTCCGTGTCTGGAAATCGGGCTTAATCGCAAGTGAACAATCTTGACGGTAACGTCGACACCTGAGCTCCCGTGGATTCACGTTTCTGTCGTTATGGGATGGTCTCAAATGCGTTCCTCAAATGCGTGATAGACGACGCGACGAATGATACTAACGGTTCGAGCACGACTGAATTGATCGGAATATGGTGCCCAGCCGTGACTCCCGGACTCCCTTTCGCCAACTCGGATCAGCGACGCGAATGACGCGAGGCGGGGTCAACATCGTTGGACCACATTTATTTGCTTTATATTATATAAGTCCTTTATTATATTACAAAGAGTTATAATGTAATATATAAGTATAATATGTAATGTATTTTTAAAAATTACATTAATATAAATAATTTATGTAACAATTACTGTAGTTATAATATTTAATATTTGTGACAATCATAATAGTTAATATTTAAGATAAATATAGAAAAGTACCGAGTTTTAAATGTAAATTCTCTATTAAAATAATAATTTTTTTAAGTAGTTTAATGACATACTAAAATATTATAAAAATAAATATATCTTAATAAATAAATGTAATAATTTATTTTATAAGAAATATATTTTAAGAGAAGAAATTTCAATTTCAATGTTGTTTCAATTAAAAAGAGAGAAAATTTCAATTTGAAACATGAAATTTTTAAATAATTATTATTAAATAAATATTCATCGTAAAAGTTTTATTCTTCTGGGCTCCAAATTGTTTTGATACAGCATTGGTCGGCATGTTTCCTTGTAAGGAAAGTTCCATTCACGCATGCGTCAGTATTAGCTATACATGCGTCGGAATCCATGTCAAACAGAACTTATTCAGTAGATAATACAGTTTGCACACATAAAATATTTCTTAACATATTTCTTAACACTTTTAGATAAAATAAATACGTTTTTTCCGCAATTTTTTTTATCCTTTCTCCAATGAGACTAAACAAGAGTATATTTATATATTTTAAATAAAGGTAAAGATGATAAAAATTTAACTGTAGAGAACTTTATACTTTAGTTAAAGACAACATATGTGCGAATTATGTTTCATTATTAATTTATTATTTTTTTCTTTATTGTATTATTAATTCAGTAAAGAAAAAAGTAACATTATAAATTTGTAAAAATAATTGTACACTGTAAAACACACTTTGACAAAAACACACACACACACACACACACACACACACACACACACGCACGCACGCACGCACGCACGCACGCACGCACGCACGCACGCACGCACGCACGCACACGCAAAAGGCTAAAATAAAATATTGAATTATATATAATTTTATTATTCTTGGATAGGTACAAATAACAATGACATAAACAAAATTAATCTATTATTATACATAATAAAATTTTAGTATTGTGCGTATTTAATAATAATAAGCTAAGTCTACAATGTAAAAAATTTGAGTAAAAAATAAGTATATACAATACGAATTAGATTAAGTAATTGCCACTTTAAGTGAAATTAACATAAAGTCATCCTCCTAAAACATATTGTTTTTCTTAAGATTACACAATAGAAGATAATGATGTTCATAAATAAGAATATCGTACTTTACGTTAGTCGTAACAAGCTGCACCGATTTCAACGGAAAAACTCTGTTCGGATTTTCCGATATCTCGCAAAGCCACATCTAAGATAGGAAGTCTTACGGGTTTGTCCGTTTCGTATGAGATAACAGTTTTACCCCAGTGGTTTTGATAAAACTACAAATCAATATATGAAATAAATATATGAATCAATTACAATATACAAGAAAAAAACATATAAATCAATTTATAAGAGATTACATTTTTATATGTGTTTTCCCTCCTCATTCTTCTTCCACTCCCTTTCTTTTCTACTTTCTTCTCTATTTTCTTCAACTCTACATTTGTTTCTTACACATATTTAGTTTCTTTGAATTCAAACAAATATCTATATATTTTATTACTATATATATTTTAATACACTTTAAGCCAAATTTAGTCAATAAATAATTAATAAATATATATAATTATTTATAAGAACGAAAAATTGATTAAAATGATAGCACACAAAAATTGACTTACTCTGCATTGATCCATTATCATCTCATATTTAAGACGCTGGTTGCCTCGTGGTGTCAATTCAACGTCATTCCAAGACAAAAGCTTCAAGCCCTTCCTATATGTTTTTCTCTCATAATCAAAGTAAGCCACACTATTTTTGCAATGATACGTGATGTTTTGAATTGCATGTTTTGAGAGCAATTGCAAGAAACTGATCTGATTACTGTCCGCCTTGTACGTAATCTGAATGCAACAATTAAATATATTTTATAAACATTTATCTAGAAATGCGTCTTATATTTTTGCAACAAATAAAAATCGAAATTAAAAGAAGTATGTAGAATAATGTAACCTTCATGCCACCATCTATCTCACTCAGCCATGTCTCTTGTTGATCAGTGATGTGAGTAATTTCTGGCGAACGCGATGGGTTCGGTAAAATGCAAGTTGCACGTTTTTCAGCATCACAATATACTAAGATTGCATCTCGGATGTCTCCTTCATTTGGATCAATCCAATATTTGCCTAAATTATGCATAAATTTATATTAATTTAAATGTTCAAAAACTCAAAATATATTAATATCATTTCTTATAATTATTTTTTTATTAAAGATTTTTATTAGCTTCAATTTTTCTTAAATAAAATTTCATTATTTAGAGATATTATATGTGTAATATTTTTTAATTTTACATATTTGATTTTAATAAAACAAAATTCAAATTTTGAAAAATTAAAACAGACGATACAGTAATACAATACAGTATATACAAATTGTAACTATTAAAATTTACCAGATAATTTTTCCGGATAGGCGACAAATAGATCTCGACAGGTTTTCGCCGGAGAATTCTTTTCACCATCTGGTTTTACTAATTTTTGGAATGACAACTTTAGATTTTCATATGCTTTTAAAAGCAATTCTCTTCGTTCCTTTTCAGTAATATCTTTATTAAATATTCTTGGTGGTTCATCACCAAGTGGATCTGGTCCCTTAGTTTGACCTCTTCCTGTAATAGATAATTTTTAGTTATAATATTTCCAAATCTACGAAATTTTTTTTAGGTTTGATTATTTATTATACATCAAAAAATTTAAATAATATAAGAAAATCTAAAGAAATCTAAAAGACTATTTGAGTGATATTTTGATGATTTAAATAATATTGTGGCGGCCACTCATGTACACGACCGTGTGGCCTCTCCACGAAGGCGCGAATTATATACACTTTCTCGCGTTTAGCTTTCACCGCAACCACATGTAAGGTCGATCACGGTCACCATTATCAACCTCAGTCGCCTCTCGATAGCCATGGGCTATGTGATATGGCAACACCTTTTTGGAGCTTCGGGGCCAGCTCCGTGCCAACGCTCATTTAATCGATAAGACTAGCAAGATCGACCGGTCATCCGGTCGTACTCCGCTCCCGGCAGTCAACGTCGAACACTCGCGGTCGTCAATGCCGAGTCACCGCGGTTGTCAACGCCATTGCATCGGCCGTCAAAGCCGAGTATCTTCGCGGCCGTTAACGCCGCCGTAATCTATCCGACTTCAGGCGATCACCAGCTGCCGATCAACACCGTTCCCGATCATCGAGTTTCGCATCGCCTGCCGGCACGGAGGGTCACGAATCTCGGTGCCACTCATGACCGATCTCCCTCCGGAAAAGAGCACTTCCGAATTCCCTCACAATATTTTAAACATTTATAATATTCGAAAATTAATCTATAATCTATATATCTATATATCTATATATATCTATATGAATTATATCTATAAATATATAAATTAATTAAAACATACCTAGAAGTATTGCTAGAGATGCAGCATCGTAATCAAAACCAACTTCTCCAGGAGGACCAGGTGGTCCGGGAGGTCCTGGTAAACCTGGTAATCCATAACGACCTTTTTCTCCAGGTGGACCTCTTGGTCCGGAATGTCCTTCAGGTCCGATAGGTCCTGGATTACCTTCCCGTCCAGGACTACCTCTAATACCTGGCTCTCCATTTTTACCAGGAGATCCTGGCAAACCAGGTAGACCCTGTTCTCCTACTAAACCGGGAGATCCAGGCAATCCTTGCAAACCAGTAAATCCTCGATGTCCTTTAGCTCCTTTCGGTCCCTCTTCTCCGCGATCGCCTTTTGCGCCTTCAGGACCTGCTAGGCCAGGTTTTCCGGAAGATCCCTGAAATTATTATATATTTAAATATTATCATATACATATATACGAAATTTATATCTAAATTATTGTTAAAAAAGTTTTTTATTTCTTAAAAATTAATTTAATTAAATGGAATATTTTTAATTTTATTGCTAATTATTTTCAGTTAATTAAAAAGTGATTACAACTATCAAAGTCATATGTTTTACCTGCGGACCTTCTATGCCTTGCGGTCCTGTTTCACCTTTGGGACCACGTTCTCCAGTAGGTCCAGTAGGTCCAGTGGCTCCAGGTGGCCCCTATTAAAAGCAAAATGGATTAATATTGATGTAATATTACTATTTTATTATATTTACATAGAAAGAAATTAAAAATTATAACGCACTGGTAGGCCAGGAGGGCCTGTTGGCCCTATAACACCAGGTGCTCCAGGTGGTCCCTTGTCACCTGGTCGGCCTCCTATTCCCGGTGGTCCTGGCCTTCCAACTGGTCCTTCCGGTCCTGCTTCTCCAATATGGCCAGGAGGACCTGGAGAACCTTTTAATCCAGGAGGTCCGGGTGGGCCTTCTATTCCTGGTTTTCCAGGTTGCCCTATTTCACCCTACGATAGGATTATTTTGATAAATTATTATTAAATTATTTATATTAAAAAAAGTTGTATACTAAAATAGTTCATATACTAAAATAGTATATAAGTAAAATATAATAAAAGTATATAATAAAAATATATAATAAAAGTATAGTAAAAATATATAATAAAGATAATTTATAACAATAAATAAAAGAATAATACAAAATTAAAGTATAACTACATATACATTATTTAAATATAATTTCATATTTTTACTTACGGGAATTCCACGTAATCCTCTTTCTCCTGTAGGACCAATAGAACCAGGTAAACCTGGTAACCCTCTTTCGCCGGGTGGACCTTGAGGTCCTTGAGGACCCGTTAACCCTTGAGGGCCTGGGGATCCACTTTCGCCTTTAAATCCATCTATTCCAGGAGGGCCAGGAATACCAATTGGACCTGGATTTCCAGGACGTCCAGTATCGCCTGGATCACCTTTAACACCAGGCAATCCTGGAGCACCAGATGGTCCTATATTTCCTGGTGATCCCTATAATATTTTTAGTCTTAATGTGTTATGTTCATTCATTCTTTAGTCTATGACATTCTATTCATTTCACGACATATTTTATTTACATTAAAATTTAATTCGCAGATATTAAGAACTTACTGGTGGTCCAACATGTCCATTGCCAGGTGGCCCCATTAAGCCAGGTTCGCCACGTGTACCAGGTTCACCTCTAATTCCTTTAGCACCAGTATGTCCGATAGGTCCAGGCGGTCCAATTTCGCCGCGATTACCCTATTAATTAATATGATTTATATGTATATATATATATATATATATATATATATATATATATACAAAATAATTTTATATCATGTAATATTATATATTATATTATATATCTCTTAAATATGACATATATAAATAATTATGTCAATTATTATTAATTATAATAATTTAGCTCCACTTGTTACCAGGCTGTCCAGGACTTCCTTGCTCTCCTTTTAAGCCCGGATATCCTCTATCGCCTTTCACACCAGGAAGTCCGATTAATCCTTGTGGACCTGGAGAACCCTGCGAACCTTGCAATCCAGGAAGACCTCTTTCTCCTGGATTACCAGGAGCTCCAGTTTCACCAATAGGACCTGGAGAACCCGGATCGCCTCGTTCCGCTGGTTCTCCAGGAGGACCAGGAGGTCCAATTTCTCCTTGTGAACCACGCTCTCCAATGTGCCCTGGGGCATTCAAATAAAGTAGTATTAAATTTTTAACAAAAATAAGTTTTATTAAAAAATTATTAAATTAAATTGATGTTTATATTTTGCAAATTAATTTTATTATTTATTTAACACAAATATAAACAAATATAAAATGTTACCTGGTGGACCTTCAGGGCCCATTAGTCCAACCATACCCCTTTCTCCTTTCTGCCCAGATTCTCCAATTGATCCTTTCGCACCAGGAAACCCCGGCAAACCTGGTAAACCAGTATTTCCTCTATTTCCTTTAGGCCCTGGTAAACCCTAGAGAATATAATACTTAAATAGATATATAAAAATGTTCTTATCTCTTGCAATAATACGTACAATTTATATCATAAAAAAATTTAAATAATAAATTGAATCAATAATCCATTGAATCAATAATCCATAAATTAAATTTAAATTTAAAAGCTGATTATTATTTAAAAAATTTATTTTAAAGATTCAAAATAAAAATTTCTTATAAAATCTTATACAATTTAAAAATAAGATTTTTAATTATGTTTATTCTAATTTTAGACACTTTTTACATATACATCTCGTAATAAATAACATAAATAACATAAATAGATAATAACAACCTACAGTGAGACCATCAGCTCCTTGCGCTCCAAGTTCTCCTTTAAATCCCATAGGTCCAGGTAATCCCATGAGTCCTCGTTCTCCCGGAAGACCTCGCTCGCCTCTATTACCAACTAATCCCGGTGGACCAGGACGTCCTTGTACTCCTGCTTGTCCATCTTTGCCTGGAATACCCGGATTACCGTCGGCGCCTGGAAGACCCTGTACATAAGTATATATTTAATTCGCACGATAAGATATATTGTTTCATTCTAAATTATGAAAAATAATTTATTTACATACTTGAAAACCTCTGGGTCCAACAGGTCCTGCAGGACCTCGCGCACCATCATTGCCTGATGGACCTGGTGGACCTTGTGCTCCTGCAGGTCCTTCTTTACCAGCATCTCCCCTTGGACCGGGCGGACCTGGATTGCCAGGCTCACCATCCTTCCCACGTTCTCCCTAATATAATAAAAATTTGAAAAAGTAAAATAAAAACTGCGTTTGTATAATATACGAAATTATTTTCACAAACAAATTTCTAATATATTTGTTTTGCTATACCCAACATGTTTACAAAAATTAATATTTAATTACAGGATATCCTCTTTCTCCTGATGATCCTAATAATCCTGGTAAACCTTGCGGTCCAGGTGGCCCCTGCTCTCCAGGTTTGCCATCTGCACCTTGAATTCCACGTTCTCCAGAGTTACCTGGTTTCCCAGGGACTCCAGGTCTACCCATTAGACCACGTGCACCCTAGAATTTTTATTAAATATTTATATATTAATTATAATATTTTTCACAAAACATGTGTATATACTATTATTATAAACCTGTAATCCTGGAGATCCAGGTAATCCAGAATCTCCTGTGGCGCCTTTTGATCCAACAGGTCCCATAGGACCACGATCACCAGATTGTCCTGACAATTTATTTATGATTCTTTATAATTATTACATTATTTTCTTACATTATTTTTTTGAGGAAGCAAGAATTTCCTCATAACATAAACGATATTTTTTAAATTTTGTAATAAGCAAAAAATTTGATCATCAAAAATTAAAAAAAAATTTTAATTAAATGAAATACTGAATAAAATACTATAAATTACCTCTAATATTTTTATGATTTATATAATTGAAATTTGTATTGTTATATTGAATAAATTTTCTTCATTGTATAATTTTAAATAATTTTTATATAATTTTTGTATAAAATAAATTTGTAATAGTTGTTATTGAAAAAACATACGAAATTTTTATTTTTAATTTATATATAACATTTTATGTTAATATGTATGCAACCTTTAGGTCCGACAACACCATCCTGACCAGGAAGACCCCGCGCTCCAGATGGACCACGTTCTCCAGGAGGCCCCACAGCACCATCCTGGCCGCGTATCCCTCTTTTACCTCTTTTACCTTCGTTTCCAGGAGGTCCTGGAAGTCCACGCGGACCAGGCATTCCTGCATCTCCTTTGACACCGGCGTCACCTTTAAAACCTCTTTCACCAGGAAAGCCCTGAAAGAAGATCGTCAAGATTTTATATGACATAAGACATAATTTTCACAGTTTTCGTTTAATTATGCGTACGGGTGCTCCTTTAGCGCCAGAAACACCAGGACTGCCTGGTATCCCTGGTTGACCCTGAATACCCGGAAATCCAGGTAAACCAATGGATCCTATGGCTCCAGTGGCTCCTTTTTCGCCAGGAATTCCATCTTTGCCTTGAGGCCCTTGTGGACCAGTTTCACCAGGTTGTCCTGGACGGCCATTTTCACCTTTATTATAAAACATTAATTAAAATTGTGAAAATTAATATGACATCAAGTAAATATATGTAGTTATAAAAAAATATATTTATTAAAATATATTTATAACTAAAAAGTTTTGTCTTTATTTAAATAAAAATTAAAATGACTTACCTCTCGGACCTTGCAAACCTTGACTTCCTGTCAGTCCTTGTGGTCCTTGATCACCCTTAATTCCAGGATTACCTGGGAAACCAGGTAAACCAGGTTTACCTATACCACCCTATAAGCAATATTGATATTATAATTAAACAAAATAAACATAAATATACTCATATTTAAATATACATATTTATATAAATAAATATTATTTAGATATATGAACATCTAGAAGGAATTGAATAATTTTTTAAATATCTTTATATGTGAAATAGCTTAGTCAATATATGTATTTATATGTATACAAAATGCATATAAAATTGTATGTAAATTGAGTAAAATTAGTTATTTACGGGTTGCCCGGGCGGTCCAGCAACTCCATCGAGACCTCTTGTTCCAGGAGGGCCTGGCGGACCTTCTCTACCTCTTTCACCTCGGGGCCCAGCTGGACCCTGCAACAATAATAATTGATATTTGTACACAAAAAAATATTTTATATATGATTTTTACATTTTTACTATTAAAATTTTTTCTTATAATTATATAACATATTTCTAAATAATAAATAATAAATTTATTTAAAATGTCTTAATTACATTTACATACCGTTGGTCCTACTGGTCCCATTGATCCAGGCGAGCCCATAAATCCTTTCTCACCAGGAGCGCCTTGTTCTCCTTTAGCACCGTCTAGACCTGGGAAACCACGATGGCCTTTTATACCTGGAAACCCAGGCATTCCAGAAAGACCACGTGGTCCCACAGGACCAGGCAAGCCCGGTGGACCTATCTCGCCATCTTCTCCACCGGCACCCTATGATTAATAAAATAAAATATTTTAATTAAATATAATACATAATTTATAATTATATATAATATAATATAAATATAGATACATATATATTTTGCAGATGCAATTGAATTAATATAAGAAAATATAAAAAATTATTTTAAAGAAATAAATTAAACTTATATAAAAGTATTATATATTAAGTATTATATTAAATATTATATAAATTATATATTAAAAATAATCTTACATCTTTTCCGGGTAATCCTGGTGGACCATTAGGACCTGGCATGCCAGGGGGACCTGCAGGACCGGGTTCACCAGTTTCACCACGTGCGCCATGAAAACCTTGAGGACCAGTGGGACCGGGTAAACCTAAAATAATTGGTACAAATATGTAATGTTTAATTTAAATTCAAAATACAAATAATATATTCAAAAATATTTTTAAATAACATGTATATAACATTTAAATTATATTTTAAATTATACAACATTTTTAAGGTCAACAACTATTTAAGAAACATGTTAAATCTTAAAAGCGTATTGCCTACCTGGGGGACCTGGCGGACCTGGTGGACCTGGCGAACTTGGCATCGGAAACCACGGGAAATCACTCCCGGTTGGTCCTTTATCTTGATTTGCTTGAGACAAAGCCAATTGTTGATAATATAGGGATATCTATTATTATCAACATATTTAGATACATTAATAAGTTATTATATATCAATGTAAATGTCATATGACGCATGTAACATATTTAATATAAATTAATTAAATTATTTAATAGAAACCTATAAATAACATTGTTACATAATATAAATATAATATAATATAAAAAAATAACATAAAGGAATGATATAAAAATGAAAATTATTAAAGAAAATTTCTTACATTTGGTGCAGGTCCTGGAGGTCCAGGTGGTCCTGGGATCCCAGGAATACCAGGCTGTCCAGGATATCCCGCGGTACCGGGACGACCAATGTCTCCAGGTCGACCAGATTCACCCTTATTTGTAAATATTATTCTTTCATAAATTTGTATAGAACAATTTTTTAAAAATTGTTAATTATAATTAATTTTACAATTACTCACCCATGGACTTTGTACTGTCACAGAATTATATACATTACCCTCACCCGATAATATTTCAGAGGTAGGTGAAACCTGAAAAAAAGAATTAACAATCGCTATACATTTTACAGAATTTGATTTCTATAATTTATTTTTATTATCGGATACTTACTAAATAATTTTGTTTAGAAGTAGAAGTAGTTATCCCTAAATCTGTAGAATATATAAAATTAAAATTCAAATTTCAAGGTAGAAAATAAAAATACTTTATTCTAATCATTTATTTAACCTCTTTCATTTTTGTTTTATTTTTTTATTTATAAAAGAATGTTTCAAACTAATTCTATTTACCATGGTCATAAAATCGAGTTGTTGCAATAGCTGGTGAATCTGTAAGTGTTTTTGATTTACGCATGAAACTTTCTCCTGGTTTTTTGGGCCATTCTACATTCAATAATTATAAGCTATTAATTATAATAATTCTGCTATAATTAATCAAAATATTTTATTTAATTTTATTTATAATAATTTTTTATATTAAAATAATGTAAAACTTCCGCTTACCCGAAAGTCGTGTAATACTAGTGGGTGCCACAGGTGGTGGCAATGTCGTCGTGGTTTCTAAACAAATAATTGTCATTATCAATAATCATTATCAATAAATCTAAAAAGACTTAAAAATTATTACTGTCAAAGAAGTCTAATTAATAATGTAATAACGAGAAATTATACAAATTTAATACGAATTTGCAAAGTCGAAATAGTTATTATAGCATTTTTAATATCTGCAAAAAAGAAGAAGCTAAACCAGAAACTATCTCTATATAGTTGTGAATTGTATTCATAATTAAATTGCATTCATAATTAATAAATTGAACTAAATGGTATTAATTAGATTACTCTGATTAAAACAAGAGATTAATTATTTTATATGGCGTCTTAACAAGATTAATGTCTAGTATAAGACTTCCGGTGTTTCTTAAGAGAATTGTTGTTTAAACAATTCTATAGATTTATAAATATATTCTTATTTATTTATAGATAAATTTACATTGCTATTATGATAATTACTATGATAATTAAGAAAAATAAATTTGCAGATTATTAAACAAGATAATAAAAAATCATGCAAAATCATCACAAAATAGCTTGATTAGTAAAAAATTCTATTTAAAAATTTTTTTTTTATTTGAGACAATTCTAATTCTTACTTTAGAATTTAACTTTACCAATTTTACTTTAATTTAAAATTGAAATAATTTTTTATTTTTGAATAAGAAAATCTATAATAAATATTACATGACTAGTGTGCAATTTGATTTTTATAAACAGGAATTAAAGCTTATTATATTTTCTTTTATATAATGGTATCATGATTATCAAGAAGAAAATATTCTTAGGTTTATTACATAATATATTTGCCTGTTCTCAAAAATAAAAAAGAAATTAATAAATAAAAAATAAAACTTAAAATTAAAATTCTTAAATTAAAAGCCTGTCCCTCTTTTTTCTTTATTAAATAATCTAATATTGTTACATTAAATGAGATACTTACCATTTTTTTCGTCATAGCCATCATAGTCATAATCATAATCATATTCGTCAGGCTGCTGAACCTCGTGCTCTAGTTTGGATCGTTGTTTCCTCAACCGATTCTTTTTGGCGTTTACTAGATACGGCAAAAGCAGCAGTAACTGAATCACGAGAAGTCTTGTGATTAGCTCTAGGGTCCGCCGCCTCATCGTGAAGTTTCTCTACCTTCCAGGGATGGAAAAGTGGACTTCACTAAAGAACGGAGAAAGTATGAATTCTAGTCCTGATTCGCCTGCATCGCAAGACTGAGGGCAACTAGATCCATTGCAACCAGCGTGTCATCTATTTAGCAGATGCTCTACATGATGTAGGGGAGGTCATCATCCTCCATTTTAACGCGATACTCCCGTCGTCTTATCCCGCGGCTATCCCTTTCATTGTCCCTCTCCATCCCTTCCCTTTCCTTGACTCTATCGCTTCTTCATATCCTTCCTTTCACATTTACTCTCATTTACTCTCATTTATGTTTTTTCTCTTTTTCTCTAGAAAGAAGGAAATGAATTTAACATTTGACAAAATAAGTCATTCACTTTTAAACCTTATATAAGCTTTGTTGTCAAGGATATTTTTTTATTTCGTCGATCTCTAAGCAGAGATCTATAAATTATTATATATTATTATTATTATATTATCTATAAATTACGAATATTAAGAATAAAACAGAATAAAAATATTTCTTCAAAAATAATCATCGCTTTTGAGAAATATTAAGTTTCAGAAATTTTTATCTGCATACAAACTGTTTAATTTTTTATTCTTTCGTCTATTATTATTATTATCTATCTATTATTATTAATCTTCATAATTCATTAATCTCAATCTGATCGGACAAAAAATTTATCGAGAAAAATATTAATCAATATTTGATAATAGTTCAAAGTATTTTTTACTTATTGTTAATTAGCAAATAGTAATTTAACACCTGAAAATTAATTTAGGATTAATTTTAAATAATAGTTATTTAATATTTATATGCTTCATTATTTTTAATAATTGTAAATATTTATAAAAAATTTTATAAAATAAAAAATTTATATATTTCAATATATTTTTAAAATCGTATCATAATGAATTCATAAAAATCTATAATAGACCATTTATTTTGTATATTGACAGAAGCAATATGGCATGACATAATGGAGGTCATCACTTTGTCAAGGGTTGTGCATCCAACATGCACTATTGGATTTACTTCATTTTTTAATTAGTATATTTTTTGCAAATAAAGTTTAATTGCAATTATAAGTTTGCATCAATTTATCTCAGAATAAAAAAATTATACAGAATTTATCCATTACTTGTATTTCTATTACATTGCAGATTCAGCTGTTATAAATATTAATTTATTTATGCCTAATCTATTTTCATCTAATATAAAGTAAAGTAAGTAAAATAAAGTAATAATTAATTTAAATAAATAATTTAAGTTATTATTTAAAAGACTCATAATAGCACAAAGTAACGTTTCGAAGACTTAACCTTTTATTAAGAGATATGAAAAAACTTTTAAAAATTATGAAAGTCAAAACACCATAATTTATGATGCATATTTTTTATTTTTTTATTCTTTTTTAATTAATAATTTTATTTAATTATATTAATTATATAGGATTCTAGAATATAAAAACTATTATATTTTTATAGAATCTTTTAATGTTAAATAATCAAAATTTGTTAAAATCTTCACTTTGCATGCGTCGAATCCAGCACAATGATTGAAGCACAAGCTGCAACGACCTAGTTCGCGATTAGTGTTCTGTCTCATTTTTATCGGTTAGCGCCAGAGAAGCATTCGGACTCCGATATGCGACCGTTTCCATTAATAAATTTATTAAACGACAATCATCATTTTGGCCGCATTCTCGGAGCGTGCGTCTTATTTTACAAGGCGTTAAGTGCAATAGCCTATATTGACCTATACTTCCTCCGTTGGCGACTATAAATCAGAATTACTACTATGTTTAATTCGAGTAACCAGGACAATGAATTTGGCACAGTTTTATCGTAGATTTCACATTGACATCCAATTAAAAATACTACGCTCTTACTAAAGCTTTTGTTTTTTCACTACAATCAAATCATGGTATCAGAAATAAAAACGGAAACTTTAAAATAATTTTAAGAAAATAATTGACTTTAATACTTAATTTTATGTCAAATATATATTAACCCTAACAGCACATGTAGATTCTGAGAATATTTAGAGAATATTGCAAACCAGATTACATATTTATGTTTCCTTTTTATTTGAAATACATATTATACATAAAAACTGTACTAAAAATATTCGTTTGTTTAAGTTTTTTTATTATCTGAGAAATATATCTATATTTAATACATCTATATAATTAAGGAATATGAGATATAAATCTCTGTGTATTTCTGTATATATTTCTCAGATATTCCTACTGTAAGTTAGAACACAATCTTAATATGTATTAAAAAAAAGAAAAAATTGGATAAACATAACATATTTTTGATATAATGTAATGTATATCTCAAATAAGAAAAGAATATACTTTCGCAATATTTTCCGAATAGTCTCAAAATCTTTACATACATGTTAGAGAATATATATATAAAAAAATTAATAAAATCTAATTGCATGTTTAAAACATGTAGAGTATAAAATTAATATAAAAAATACAAATCTAAGTTATTTTATTTTGTATTCGGCATTTAATTATTTTTATCTTCCATTATTACAGCTGAAATAGTCAGATACACATACACATCAGATATACACAGATATACACATCAGATATACACTGATGAAAATGACAGATCTGAATGCGAGCATTAATGCAATCATAGAGATGCGGTAATTGCTCTAAATATTGTAGTAATTCTTCAAACGCGTGCACGTGACGTTATAACAGCAACTCATCTCAGAAAGATATATGTAAATTGTGTTATATGTTTATTTAAACTAGAATAAAAAGAATATTTTTTAAGTATTTTGCATTAAAAATATTTTATTTCACATTACTATATTATAATGTTATTTTATGTTAGCAGTTTACATATGCACTTAAATCTTATTTTTAATAATCACATACACACACAAATTACAGATAATATATAATACAAATTAAATTAAATTATTTAATATAATATATTTAATAATAAAATTAATTTTAATATATAAACCCAGATCATAAAAAACAAGTAGGTTAATTTAATGTAACTCGTTAAAATTATTTAAAACTGACTTGTCTAAATATCATTTATATATTGTGATATGAAAATTTATTAAATTTCAATCTGTTCTACTTACATGAATATATATTAATATATAAATCTCTCTCTCTCTCTCTCTCTCTCTATATATATATATATATATATATATATATATATATATATATATATATATACATATATATATATATAATAATTTTTTAATTCATTTGATTTTTATAATTTAATCTATATAATAATATAAAAAAAGATATGTCTCTAAATAACATAGAGAAAAATATTTAATAAGAAAATAATAAATTCATAAAAATAAATACTTTTATAAAAATAATAACGCTATGACAATAATTATAATATTAATACAATTTAATATAATTTATGATATTATGCATGCTACTAGTACTAGTACTAGTATTGCATTTTTACATAATTTTATTTATATCCATTTAATGAAATTGCAAATACGTTGCTGTTAGAATGTTTCTCGTCAGGCTAAAATTAAAAATAAAATATACTTTCGTATTTGTAAAAAATTTGTAAAAAAATATAAATTATCCTTACTATCAAAGTAACTCCTATGAGTACATCGGCATTAGAATATAATTGTCTGCGCAAAGATATTGTTATCAACTGCGTAGTATTCAATTGGGATTGAATAAATCGAATGACATTTTTAATATTCGTCTTGTCTAATGCTGCATCAATTTCATCCATAATAAGAAATGGTATTTGCTTGTCACTGTAAAAATTTTAATTTTTTGGAATATCTCTTTTATCTGCACCCATTAAAGCATTCACATTACAAAACATTTTGTTAAAATTCTTAATGTTAAAAAGTACCGTTGCATTGCAAAAAATAATGCCAGACTAGCGAGTGATTTTTCTCCACCAGATAAATATTGCAATGGGAGAAAACCTTTAGATGGTACTATGCAATTATATATTATATTGCCTATATATGGTTCCTCGAGATTATCTGAGAAGATAATTGCTTGAGCCGACATGTCATGAACCAAATTCTGTATAGAAATGTCAAATAAAAATGTAATATTTAAAACTATATTAATTATGTAACAAGTAGAATTTTAAAGAGAGCATGATTAAAAATAACAACTTTATATGTAGAATCTATTTCTGCGGCAACTTGCTCCAAGTAGTCTGAAAACAACTTATATCTCTTCGCCTTTACTAATTCAAATTGAGTTCTTATTTCATCAGATTTCTTACGGCAGTTTCGGAGATTTATATTTATCTCTTGCATTTGATCCGTTATCGAATCGATTTTTTCATCGATCTGTAATTTATTATCATTAATTCAAAACTCATAAAACTCATAAAATAAATTTTTAAAACATAATCTAACATAAAAATATATACTATGTAACATTACATACATTTAAATTGGGCTTCAATATATTATTTAATTCAGTCTGGATCTTTATAAGTTCTTCACTAAGTTGTTTAGTCATGTCTTCTTCTACACAATTGCGAATATCTTGAGGAAATCGCGAAAAATCAATTTTCATTGATATCTTCGAGTCTGTGCTCAAACTTGAGCTATATGTAAAAATGTCTTCATTTTCTGGTCTATGCGATGTCTGTAGCTTTGGAATAACGATATCTTCTATCTGTAAAAAGAATTATATCTTTAAATATGTAAAAATTATATCTTTAATATTTATTATATCTTAAACATTTATTATATATTCTTAAATATTAATCTTTATGCTAATTAAGTGGTCAACGCAATATTTAAAATTTAAGATTTGTACAAATGAATATTTTAAAATAAATTTTTTAAAATAAATATCTTTTTTAGGAACTTACAAACCTTGCATTCATTGAGTATAGTATTGCATTCTATTTGTTTCTGTTCTATTTTACTCCGTATAGCAATGTGGGCTTTCTGATTATCTAAATATAATTTTCCAATAACATCAATTTGTAATTTGTATTGAGCTAATTTTTTTTCTACATTTTCTATATTGTTTTTCTCTTTCACATAACTATCCTTTAACACCGACATTTTTGATTTTGCCTGTTTGATTTTCATTTTTTCATGACATTCTTGTTGATATGCTTTATTCCATTCTGTTTCAGCTTGTTCCAAAAAGTGTTTCCATTTCAAAATTTTACCTTTTTACATAAAATTTGTATGTATAAAAATATAATTTAATAATTAGAAAATATTAATAATGTAAAAATACATTAACAAAAATATAATTTATAATTTACTTTCTGTATCGTTCTCATTTTCAAAGCGCAATTGATTCTCAATATGATCATATTGTTTCTCCAACTCTAGCTGCTTATTTTTTCGCTCTTGATAAGTCCTAAAAATTGATATTATTAATTCTATTTTTATATATATTTATAATTAAAAATTAAACATACCGCAAATTATTCTTCTCATAATAACTAATATCCGGTATATTAATATCTTTACAAAAGTCCACAAAAATTTCATCTTTAATTGTTTTAATAAA